CAAGAACATAAGGTACACTCTCCTGCCACGCCACTTATACATCAACCAGAAGGAATAGATCGTGAAGATCAGAAAGACCAAACCGAGCCTCAGTTCGGGCCGGGGCAACATACGACACTGTAGTCACCGAGTTTCTGGAGTCTCAGACACCTTTTTGCTCAGGCGCCAGATCATGAGAAGGAAAGCCACCAAGTTAGAGCCCTGCACGGACGGCGTGAAGAAGAATGTCCGCATGGCCGTGCTTGTGACCTGGGGATCTTTCTTTGTCCCAGCGTGAGCCCAGCTTTGGCTGCAATGCCGAGGTCTGGACAGTTCCAGTCACAGCTCCGTTGGGAGTGAACTCAAACAGGATGACCTTGTCTCGTCCCGCACGCTCGCTCGACTGAAGCGACTGCTGTTAATCTGAGGCTCGCATCTACAAGGAACCTACCCCAAATTGCGTGCCAGGATGCTGTGTTGACCTGAAGACAAGATGTCAACCGAGGTAAATACACCGAGCTGCACATGGAAAGAGTAATGAAAAACAGACTGTGAAGCTTGGCAGGAGAACCTCAGGCCCAGGCTATGACATTCACATTCGTGCTCATCGTTGTCAACTCAATCGAAACCCTTAACATGCAGGGACATGCAGAAGCCAATGCGGACAACAGACACCGGGCCACTCGACCTGTGGTCCTCCGTCACCGTGTTTGGAAAAGGTTGCGGGGCTGGTAGCTCTTTTGGGCTAGCTCACCATTGAGCGAACGTGAACCCGCAGCGTTTGCGCTGATGTAGCACCGCTCACCCCGTTCAGACACTGCGGAGGAGGAGACCCTGGCAGAACCTATGGCTCTGCATTTTGGTTCGGTGGTGTCAGCGCCACTCCAAGACATTTCATGCCCTCAAGAGCTCTGCGAAGCAAGGCTGTTACTTGCATGGCAATGGATGCGATTTGCAGGGACATGCAGGGATGGTTTTCGTGTTCATCTTCAAACTTTGGAGAGAGTGCCGGGAGAGCATTGCTTTCGGAAACGGCGAGCTTTCTGACTTCTGACGCTTTTCTTCATGAAATGAGACTATGCACAGCAAAACCCTCAGATTTGACGAGCGGCGCCCTGGTCATCCGATCACACCATCTCCATGTCTGCAAGTCATGGAGCATGCTCAGCGCATGCGACTTGTTGGCTGGCAGATCGATGAAAAAGCCCGAGCCTTCGCACTTGCAAAGCTTCCAAAGCATCACAGCGGAAGGACCCTGCGGATCCCGTTTAGCTCGGCGGCCGGCCAGAGTAAGTTGCTGCAGCTCCTCGGATGGCAATCTGCTGCGTCTCTTCCACTGGGCGCCACTGGTAGGCCTCTCCAAATGCAAGACACGACTGTCGCAAACGCATGTCCGCCGAGCCTTGATGAGGTATGTTGGCGCGAAACGCGGGTCGTATGCAGCCTGAGTATAGCCCTCGCGAGCTCAACAACGCTTGAAAGGCAAGGCTCTTCTTGCTCTAGACCTGTCTGTTTTGCAAAGGGACTGACGTCCTTCTTTTCTTTTTTGCACAAAGCACGCGATGGCAAATCGCGTGCCGCTAGTGGACGTGCTGACAAGTTGCTTGACTCTCACGCGTCTCATCATATGTAGAATAGCAATCCTTGCTGCTTGTGCAGAATGGCAGTGCAAAGAAGCTGCGCAATATGGAATATGGCAGTCATGCACAACATCTTGAATGATGTACAGCTGAAAGTCAGCATAGACGTGCTTCACGAGAGCAGTCACGCTGCAACCCGTATTGGGCTGGACTCGCCTGAGTGTCTTCGACATGAAAATTCAATGACCTACTGTGTCCGATTTGATGAGAATCTTGGAAGCCGACAGCTGGCGCATGCGCAAAGCGCCAAGAAGAACTGTGCTGCGTGTGTCACTCAAGTAGCGCGGGCTCCTGCGACTCAGGATACCATGGGTAAGGACCAGCAGCTAGAGCAGGTGATACCGTTTCCAAAGACCTGCCTTCAGACTTTCTTCATCTCGTCTATGAAACAACAAGCAATAGCACAAGAAAAAAGGGCGGGTCCACTTCAGCGGAAACTGGCTGTTCCTTAGTGTTTGACCAAGCTTGTCGACATGCTGCACTGGTATCTTGCAACTGCACACGATCAGGAATCATGCTGGGTTTCTTCTGTTCTGTGCGTGCTGGCACTGACACATAACTGGAAGGCAGGATGCAGAGATTGTCTGAGCATCGTATGCATTGAGGTTCGTGTCTGGTGATTGACCAATGACGACTGGAGCGGTGTTTGCCGGGTTGATGGCACCAGTAGGGCGGCCACAGCTGCGTCAAATCGCGGGCAGGACGAGCGACAGAAGAAATACGACGGTTTCGAAGCGCAGGAGTGCGGTATGCGAGGGAGGGTTGGCTACCGGGTGGGGACAGCTACCACATCGCGTTGTGTTTAGTCGCATCGATCCAGCGTGCAAGAGGGGATTCGATGTGACTGCAAAAAAGGCACGAGTACCTGCGGCATGCGGCCATTTCATTCGTTTCGTTACATGTGTTGAAACCCACATCCGGACCGCGTGCCCATGGGGTTTCGCCGTTTCTGATTTGATGAGACGAGGTGATGTGACACAAAATAGGCACGAATACCTGTGGCATGCGGCCATTTCATTCATGTCGATTCACGTGTTGAAACCCACATCCGGACCGCGCGCCCATGCGGTTTCGATACTTCTGATGTGACTAAACGTGGGTGATGCGACTAAACGCGGATCGGAGTGTGACATAGCGTGACAAGCGGGATGTTGTGACCAAGCTCGCCCTCATGCGACTTAACCCCACTGCTCGTATATGTCCATATGAAAGACATTAGTTGCTGTTTGCAGATGTCCACCGTGGAGCCTGTGCAGAGGATCGTAATTCGTTCGCAGTCTAACTTGCTTGGCAAGTTCCCCCCGCGGGTCCACTCGCCAAGGCAGTTCTGAGGAGGTTGGGAGTCTGGCGTCGACTGCAGGGACTCGAACTTTCGAACTACAATCATGACTAATACGGACGGATAGTCAGTTCACAGCCGTTCCATGCCGTCAGCACCGGATTTCGAAACATGATGACAACTCCTTACCGCCTTTCTTGCAGATCCTCCTTTGTCTGCTCTAGTCTTCGGATTCTGCTTTGTGATCATACTTGCCCTTGCAAGCTGTGGCGGCTCGGTGGACGGAAGGTTGTCACCATGCTGTACCACTGCTGTGAATAAACTCCTTGCGCAGCCAAGTCACGGAAACACCGTGTCTATCTGCGCAACGATGGGTGCACCGACATCATCGGTGTATGCCAAAGGCAAGAGCTCTTCCCTCGGCACGCGACCCTCTGTGAAAACCGAGCACTTTTAAGCACTCGGGCCCAGGCTGCATCCAAGACCAGAAACTCTGAATGTTCTCAACCTGCGCTCCCATGTCAGAACTCGCTCTCGTGATCTCCGACGAATCGGGTCCGTCGGCCTTCTGGATTCTGCAGTTGCCGTCTGTGTCGCAACCCCTCCAGTAGTCGAGCTGCTCGATTCGACTCTCGAAAACATCCTGTAAGGCAAACTCAGCAGCAAGATCCAGTACCTACGCCAAAGCAGATCAGCCCAGGTGTAGCTTTTACGTCCTGCGACTGCAGGTTGTACGCATACAGTGTCACGGAGGCCCTTGGCGTGCATAAACATCAGAGTCTAGACTCTGGTCAGCAAAATAAGAGCACGGTTGACCTGATTGCACCAATGCATACAAGACTTGACCATGCGTCACACATCTGATCCAAGGTGCAGCAGGACCAGATAAAATAGCGTTTCAAAGAACATGACCTTCAAGTTCCTCCGCAAATCAGCCATGGCTGCGAGCCTACCCCAAACGCACATAACGCTCCGATCTGTCCTGTACTCCACGGAGTTTGTGTGATATATTCGGGTCGCATCGATATCTTCGAAAAACTTCCAGAACATCACATCCCCGACGAAGCGATCTTTGTCAGGAGTCTCCTCGAAGATGTCCTGGAAAGCATACGCTGAAGGTCAACTGAAACTCCCGGACTGCTCCTGTCCTTGAGGAGAACCATGGGACTGTCCTCGGCCATGTCACAGCTTCTTGCTCGTTCATAAAACATATGTCACCGGTGTGAAACTGGATGCCGTATGTCCGCGGGAACAACGGCGACAGATGACAGACGAGAACCCAAACAGCAACACACAAACAAAACAGAATGCAAAGCAAGTTATGAAGATTTGGAGTGCAGAGCAGACTTTACAGCGAGCAATCGCCTCAAGCCGAAAACGGTTGCTGCTTTGGCTTTACCCAATTATCTGTAAATAGGGGCCAATGCTCGCAGCCTAGCATGGTCAATGGAGGAAGCCAGTTTCAAGCAGACTCCTCAATGCCGGACAAAAAAATTGCAAAGACTCGTTCTCCAAATGTCTGTCCAACTTGCCGCAACTTGGCTCCGCACCTTTCTGCTCTGTTGTCTGTGATGCAATCGCTTGATAACGATATCTCGATTTAGAAACCTTGATTCAGGCTGGCGTTTCTTGCATTGTTAACTACACTGCCTGGATGCAAGAACGCTAGTCACTAACCCACTCGCCACATGCAACCCAGATACAATGGTCTAGAATGTTTTTTCTTCTTGCCTGTACACAACGCATGAACTGGAGCAGCCAACATCGCTTCGACCTGCGAACCAACCTTCACCACCGGCGCCATCAGGGCTGTCCATGGCGATGAGGCAATGAAGTTACACTTCACAGCGATAAATCTTCAGAAGCCAGGGAGAGGGTTCCAAGGTGTCGTTACCTGTTTCTCATGCTAAGTCGGTATCTGCTATACATGGCCATCAGATGTCTCTCGACCTTGCTTGGCCAGGACACCGCTTCGGACCTGTCATCTGCTTACATGGCTCATGAATCTTGAGAATTGAAAGCTCCAGCATTGCTGATAGGGTCCTCTCAAACGAAACATGCGCTTCCATGTTGATGCAGCATGTGGCGCGAAGCAGCCTGTCCTGCAAAGCTTGAAGGCGTTGCTCTTGTGCCTGGAACACATTGCGATAATGCTACACACAGCTCTGAATCTTGATTAGTCCATAACTTGTCGACAACTACATGCGCATTCGATTCCCACCATGCGAAAATGCCAGACTGTGCGCCGGACATCTTGTTCCTTCGAACATGAATTCGCGACATCTGCCACTGCATCCAGGCGGTGTGCAGTCTGCTGCTGCTTCTGCTCCAAAGCATCCAACCGAACTGCGACATCTGAAGATGTCTTCGGAGACTGTGCCGCTTGCAGATCGAGAAGTTGACGGTGAAGGTATGCAACGGCTGAAGCCGTCCTTTCTTCTAGTCCTTCCAGTTGACGCCTCGCATCCCACGTGGACCGGACATCAGCTTCTCGGTTCCGACCCGGGGACCGCAAAGTGCTCTCCCAATTGAACTTTTCCGCTATGCCAATAAGATTGTCAGTCCTGCCCGAAACATGTCTGCAACATTCTGCAACTGCGCCTATGGGGATGCAGCGTGACACTGGACGAAACTTGACGATAATGCAGGAACAGCGTCCTGTAGCCCCCGTTCGACATCGATGCAGAGAACACGTTGTCACATGATCGTCGGCTAGCCGGATACATGTGCAAACGAACTCAACATGGTATGTCCGACGATGCTGCTCTGAAGCATGTCCTGTTGCTGGCTAACAAGTGTGCTGACGATCGTTTCAACATCTTTTCCACATCTTGCATCAAACAAGCTTGCTTCTGTTGCGTATTGAACATCGAGGGGATGCTGCACGCGAATGGCATCAACACTTAATCGTCCATCATAACGTCGTGTGGTCTGCACAAAACAAGCTCATGATCTTGAACATTAATACACAATCTCAACCCGATGTGTTCCTTGTATTTCTACGGGGTTTTGCGCCAATCGCTAATCATGCCGGACATATATGGGTAGTTCAAAAAACTCAGAACGACTGGGGTCCACGTTCCATTCGTCGAACATTTACCCAATTGAACATATGGGGCAAACATAAACTGTACCAAACGATATGCATTATTTCACGAAGATTCGGAACACCATTCTCATTGTTTACCTTTCGGTAATGCCGACTTGGGTATTCCTATGAATCCCCGCTCATGTCGGATGGCGAACACGGCGGATCGCCACGAACATCCCGAACTGGAAGTGAGACCATTGTTTCTCGCACATTCTGGCCACAGGAAGCTAAATCTGCTGGTTCCATTTAAAATTCAACTGAGAATATAACAAATGCAGGTACAAAATTTAGCTCGAAACGCTCAGTGCTCTCCAAAAATAAAGCTGTCAGGCTGCGGGTCAGGATTGAGAACGTATTTGTATGTATATAACTGATAATGTACAAAGAAACAACATTACGGGGATTTATAAAAAAACTACATTCAGTTCGTAAACATCCGATGGTGGAAGCAAACTTCTTGGTTCCAGATAATAATAACCAATGCCTCATAGATCCTGTGATATGTGATTTATACAGCTCTGCATGTGATATATTTTACAACTTTGTAACATGGTTTGCACGGAAAATTAATCCGCATCAAAAGCTCCGCTTTTAAAGTGCTAGACATGGCGGAAGGGCGGGGCAAGGAAAAAATGAGGGGAGAGGGGGAGGAAGGGGCGCCAAAAAAAAAATTGATAATATGTGTTTTTTGGCACGCCCCTCCCCCCTCCGGATCAGTTTTCTTCGCCCCCCCCCCACCACCCTTCCCAAAGTTCAAACCATATCATGACTACTACTCCATCGGCTAACCCTGGCAGTGCGTCACTGCATCTATGTCGCAATATCAACTTCAGGACGAATAAAACTCGCATTTATGATTTCCACTTGGAAAGCTTTATTCGACTTCAAATCTGACCAACTACAAGAAATCAAGATTCCTTCAATCTTGATATTCGTGAATATAAGAACATATGTAACTGCCGTCCACACTCGCTGAAGGTCCATGTATTCCTCGAGGGTGGCATGGGGAATCCGATCGTCAACTCGAGAGCTAGGAAACATGCTTGGACTGGACATCCCAAGCCAGCGAGTGCAGCACGTCCCGCAACCCCCTGAGCACATGTGCCCCATTCACTCCAAGGCCACGCGATGGCTGGTCATTTTTCGTTCTATCGCTGCACGAAAGTCTCGAGTCCAGCGGGTGAAGCGTTTGGACACTGTTGGTTGAAAAAAACATGTATGTCTAGCCACCATCTGCAATCACATCGAGTTCCGAACTACCGGAACTACGTTCATCCTAAAGTCTCACAGTCGAGACACTCCTTTGAGCGGTCAAGCGCATTGCAACCTTCTGAAGTTCAGATGTCCAAAACGACACGAACGTCGCAATGTGCAGGAGCAACCAACGCTCGCTGTACAACAAGTGGCCACAGCAGGTGAGAGAACCAAGATCACGGATCCATGTGATTGAAACAAACGCAAGTAGAATCAAATAGTGAACCCAAAAAGCACTCGCTACGTCGAAGAACACGTGTCGTTCATAAGCAGCCCACCGCAAAGCGAGATAGGCTGCTCCTTTTTCTCGACAAGACCGCGTGCTTGGTCGAGATTGTTTTCGACATATCTTTTTTCGGCCCTCCAACTTTTTTCCAGCCCGCGACAAGACCTAGAGAAAAAACAGGATCTTTGCTTCCAACCTCCACGTGGGTTTTTTTCCGTGTGGTTTTTTGGGTCCCTGCCTGTTCTACAGAGACTCGTACACTTCTTGTGCGTACAACGAAGACAAAAACCAAAAACACCAAATCTTTTGCAACATCTTGAACTTGCCTCTCTCTGGGGAGGGTGTTGTCAACTCCCCCACTCTGTGATAGCTACGGGCCTT